AGGATCTCATTTTTAAAAATTATCAAACTTTGAAACAGTTAAGTAGATTGCAATTCATCCAAGTTATACACATCAGTCATGACTCATTCATAATAAAAAAGCATCCACTTGAACTCTATGCGTAGCCGTTGTAGTGTTCAAAACCCTTTCCTTGACACATGAAAGTCTGTGCAGTCAGAGATTTTCCTTCCTGATATTGTATCATTTCATCTCGAAGCCACAACAGTAGCTAAGGCACCCAGACCAATTGCAGTGAAGAGGACTCCTTTCCAAATCTTTTCTTCGAATTCTCCCTGGTCTGGGAAGTACTCCACAAAGGCATCCTGAAAAAGAAAACAACATCATGGTCCATTTTAAACTTAAACTCAAGGCCACATTATCATTTTTCCGTTAAAGTTAGCAATCTAGTGTGTTGTGACACTTCTGATATAATTAATACTACCAAAAAAACCCTGACAGTGACAGGCACGGTAATAATAAAGATACAATTACACGGTGTGCAACTTGAATTCACAGACTTCAAAAAACAAAGTAGACTACAGCCACAAGGTTTCTTTAACTTTAACAGGTAATTTTGTTTTTGGAGTTAACTAACACACAACCAGTCCTGAGTACATGTACTAGATCTAGTGGTACAGTGGAAGTCGGATTCAACAAAGTCGTCGGGCCTGACCTTCAATTTCGTCGAATCTGAGTGTTCATATTAAAAATTAGCAAACAGGTGGTTTTTGTATAGTATAGATTATATATGAACCGAGCGAGTAATTTTAAAGTAAAGGGGAGTAAAAAGTGGTAGGCTACCCTGAAATGCCACCTTTTTAGGCTTCTTTTCAACTTCCTCAATCAAAAGCAGTTTCGTTTCCAATGAGGGGCATTTTCGTTTCCTTCATGCCAAACCGAACAGCGCTAGAAAATACACAGAACTCTACCAAGCATATGCTCTGCAAAAGGGCTGAGTCATTCAAATGCATGCCTTTGTCATCTATGACTATGATGCATTGTTTGCTGAACTTGTGTTGCTGTGTAGAGCTTTGCATAGATTATAATGATGTATACGCCAATGTCTGATTCTTCAGACCAACGCACATTTCATTACGAAGGTCTATGCCAAAACTAGCTTAAAATCAATGTAATATAATTTATATAAATATTGATCAGTAGTGTAAGAACACCACAGACACCAGTAGTGAATATTCATGGAACCCAAAAGATAATTCCTCATAGTTGGAGCAACAATCAACTAGAGCTAGTGAGGGTCACCACCCAAAGCTGGCAAACAAGGACGGTACCAATGTTTATCAAATCAACTGATCAGACCCAAGCAAAAACAGATACAGTAGTATTGTGATAATTCAATTATAATTAAGCTTAAAAAACCTGACAGAGCGGGCAGAGTAAAAAAAGTAATGCACGAGATTCAACATTCAATTCAATCTACATCTCTAACTCTGTCAATAAAAAAACTCCACAGCTTTCAATTTCTAAGGAAACAGAATTTTTTCTGGTTATTTTATAGCAAAAAACTATTGCCAAAGATCCCAATTTCAAAAGATTGAAACTGAACTTAGACGTCACTTTTAAATTCTCAATTTAACCCTAATTAAAAGTACATTTTCTGAACAACCAACAGCAACTTTTGTAAAATTAGTATAAATAAAAGTCACACCCCATCTAGCCGTCTCATCACTTGCAACTTCCATTAAGACCACCGCAGGCATGTTGAGCAGGTACGTAAACACATTCAAGTCACGTTAAATCTATCTGCCTGACATGTGGCATTTACTATTTTCATTTCATATACACTGACAGGACAAAATTACAAAAGAAGTAAACCCAAACACGATAGACCTGAATGAGATGCTGTTTGCGCACGATCAAAGCCTGGCATATATATGAGAAAGAAGACCAACCTAAAGAGCACACGGACAGGCTGAATACACAATGTGAAAAGCTCAACATGAAGAGATCAGTAAAAGTAAAAGCAAAACGGAGATGATGAAAATAGCGGAACACCTGGCAACCCTAACACAACATCACCATCTACGGAAATCCGCTGAAACAAGTCAATGAGTGCAAGTATCTAGGTGGCATCTTTTCGGAAGACTGACGTCTCAACAAAGAAATTGAGACGAGAGTACAAAAGGCTAACAGCTTGCCCCACTCCTCAAACATGATCCAAATATCCCCACTGAGACCAAAGCCAAGCTCATTAACTATATCTTCATCCCCACCTTGACCTACCAGTGCCAGACATGGACCCTGACCAAAAGTCTGGAAGGTATGATAACCACCTGCGAGATTAGATGTCTAAGGAGAGCCGTCAACAAAACCAGACAGGATATGGACAGAAACAAGATCAAAGAAATGATGGGAACAACGCCTATCCTCCACTACATTCGAAGGCAAACAATTAGGTGGTTTGGACATCTCACACTTAAGGCACCTCATCAGCTTGCCAATAAAGCCTACTACAGGAAAGTATCAGGGTACAAGACAATAAGAGGAAGACCAAGAAAGACCTGGATCCAAGTAGTGAGTGAAGGATACCCTGAGAACATAAAATATCCTACCCAGCCAGGCCATCAAACTTGCTAGAGAAAGGGAGCTCTTTCTCCACTCGACGCCCTAGCTAGAGATACAAGAGGGCTGATAAAGTAAAGTAAGTATCCACTGACAGTGACAGACAAAACTTATTAACTGACCTGTCGTGGTACAGTATAATCCGCTTATAAATAGGCCTATATATTATATTATATCGACATGCTCTGGGAAGTGTATTTGATGTTGAATATATAAAATTGTTGATAAATGAAATAAGAGGATAAAACGAGGAGAGGTCAGCGGTAAAAAGACAACTTGACTTTTTTAAGCTGGCCACTTCCCTTGATTATTACACAACTACACCGTGAAACTAAAAAGAAGCAGAGGGGAGGGAGGGTTGGAGTTACTGTACCAAAGACCTAGTAACACGAGGTGCACACTACACACCAGTGCAAACTTTATTGTAGCAATCCTTGTACGGCTTGTTTACGTCGCTTGCTGGGGAAAATGGCGAAATGTGAGGCACTGACTCATTGACAGTGGCACTTGCCAGCAACAGACTTGAGATTACTGAGAATGGGGAAGGGGAGTGAGCGATCGGGAGTGGGGGTAGGGAGGTGATGCCCAGCACGCGAGACGCTCACGTCTGTGAGGCACTGTACTGTGTTGAAGACTAACACTGTGTAGGCCCTACATGACCTACTAAAGCCTGGTGTGTCGAAATATGCTACTTGGCGGGTATTCAGACTTAATGAAGAACTAATGCCTTGACCGTTTGTGTGGGTTTTCCCTCCATTTATGTTCGAGGCCTTCGCCAGGTACCCAGGAAGCATGTCGATATTTACAGAATGGGCAGAAGAAAAGTATATGAGGAATTATTTAGCGAAGATATTGAAGGAAAAATTTCGTCATTGGAAAACATGTCGATATATATGTCAAAATGTCGAAACATCGGCTGCCGATATAAGTGGATTATACTGTATTTTATCAAATTGTTCATTAATCACCTCTTGAAACAATGAGGAAGTCCAGCATTTTTTCTTGGGTTAAGAAGTCGCACCATGCCCACAGTAGACTCAGTTAAGAAAAGACTTGGGAACAGTGAGTCTGATATGAGCTCACTTTCTCAGAACTGTTCAGGGTCAGTCATTCCATTGAGTTATAATACATGTAATTCAATTCCCTCAACAGACTCAAAAGAAATACAACTACACTACTTGATGTACACAGCTGTGAGACAAAACTGGTCAGTCTCTCCGACTGTTGAGCCCCTTGCTCCTGATTCGCGAAGACCAAGATTTAAACTTAAAGCAGGTACAGAGAAAACCTGATAACAGGGATGGTGGGACCAGAGAAGAAAAAATCCTGTTACATCAGATCCCTGTTAAATCAGAAATGCAAGGGAAGTAAGAATTTTTGTGGACTAACCCAGCTGTATTTATTAATGAGTAGTTTCCCTTTTTCATGTGGCAGGCCTGTGCATGACGCATCATGTGACATTACGCGTGCATGTAGCTTGGCTTACGGCAAGATCGAAGTCTGCAGCACACCGCACCCTCTCTCGCTTCACCCGCTGCGTGTGCTTGCAGTGGCGTGGCTTGCGTGGGCTTGCTCCATCAATGCCTTACTCTCTCTCTCTCTTACTTTTTACACATTGTTAACGAGCCTCTGTCCCTGTAATAACCGATTGGGTTCGGATGAGGCCATGTTGTTGCCGATACCTTTAATAAAGACAGAGTAGGAAAAACCGGGGATTGAAAAAAATCCCTGTTATTACCGGGCCTCATATAATGGTTTCCATTGTAGGCCTACTTTTCAACATTTATCTGAACTTTTAAAGCACCATGAAACTTATTTTCCTTCTCCTTTAACAAAATCAAAGAGCGTTACAGTCCAAAGTTACAGTTACAACATTGATTATAACAACATCGCTTCATCTGACCATGTCTATCAAGGGGCAAGTGTATAAATTTGAATTTTGAAAGCGGCAGTACATTAATTGGAAGGACTCCTGTTTTGAGCAACCACCCCAACAAACATAAAAGTAAAGAAGAGACTTACCCTGACCTCTAGCCTTAACCCTGAACCTAACCTTCTCTTAGATTTCAGTGGTCACTCGTTAGGGAATTCCTCCCCATAAACTTTGTCATGAAATGGTAGAAACAGAGTGAGACAACTAGTCCCTTCCCCAATACACACAATTTTACTGACATTTATTTTGAACTATCACTATTGGCCTATGGGTAATTTACAGTGTGTGCATCTCTCTATCTTGCAATCTTTCGGTTTCAACATTATATAATATTATTTAATGGTGTTATATTATGGCATGATGGTTTTAAACAAGGCGGGGATAACTACAAATATTCCATTATAATACACTTTAATCTAATTGGACCTGTCTCTCGAAGATTAAAAAATCAGCGATTTTCTCGTGTTTTATGGCACTTTGAATTAATTTGATCATCAAAACAAAATCACTGCATCTAATTGTCAGAAAACGGGGGGGTGCGGGGACCGTTCTTAGGCAAAGAAAGACCATAACTTTTAAATAAGAGATATATGGAAGGACTTCCGTAAAACGAGCGACCACCCCAACAAACAGAATAAAAGAGGACCTGTAACCCTAACCCTCGTCTTCTATTCTACTCTGTCATAGTGGTCGCTTATTACGTAAGACCTCCTCCTGACATTGATGAAACAGGTTTGGTTTTATGATTTGAAGTGACTAGATCTATTTAGATCCGAACACTCTGGGGAAAAAACTTGATCTCTATTTCTCCGAACGGTTTCCGTTCTCGAGATTTTTGGGTTATTTGCGAGATTTGGGCGTCATCTTTCATTCTGCAAGGACTTGGAAAAAGTACTTTTTGCATCGCATTCAATTTCTAGAGCTAGAGATTTTTAAATATCTGAATATTCAGATAGCCTACTTCAATTGTCGTTGGGGCAACATTCTCCCAGACAAATTTATACTCATTTGAAAAAATGCCTTCAAAAGGTACTGCGAGAAAACAAGACTGCTCGACTTTAGCATGACCTATTTCGCATTTAGTCACCCCAAAAGAAAAAAACTAAAATCCATCATGTAAACAAAACTTTAAAAATCCCTCCACCCCAGCCCCCACCTTATACACACACTACACACCACACACGAGCCACTCCATTCGAAAATTATCAACAAATCTCGAGAACAGAAATCGGGCACTCCTGTACAATTGCGGTCTCGTCAGATCTAGAACACTAAATCACACAAAAAAGCAGACTACTGGATATCGATACTGATTCAAATTTCGGTATCTATGTTTTACCAGTAGATCTAGCGTACAAAATTAGCAGTAGGCTATAACTTCACATTTAACAAGGCAAGGGGGGTTTCAGACAAAAACATGGGGGTTTCAGGGGGGGGGGGGCGCCCCCCCCCCCCCCCCCCCCTGAATTTGACCATAATAATTTGATGTTTTGCAATTGGTTTGATTGGCCATCATTGGCTATCTCTCCGCCAAGGCCAAGGCCTATCGGCACGCACATCAAAAAGTAATCGTTTGAAAACAGAAGTAAGTCAGTGGTGGGGTCAAGGAGTCTTAAACGGGACCGCAATTGTACAGGAGTGCCAGAAACCGTTCGGAGAAATAGAGTTCAAGTTTATCTTCGCGAGCATTCGGAGAAATAGAGCCGGCCATTATGATTTACATTTGGCTGTTGAACCAAGTTTGGAAGGAGTTCCGCAGAGGGCTGGCCGACAAAGGATATTTTGAGCAGGGCTGGGTATATATATACACATACCTAACCCTAACTCATACTCATAGTCTATAGTTTGCTCGTAGGACCTCGTCACGGTAAGTGCTGGCCCTCTGTGGAACTCCTCCCCCAAGTTTTATTTTCTTTCCCATAACTAAAACTAGATTCTAGATCTAGATTTCTAGATTCTATCCCTTTAAAAATGAGAACACTGCCTAGCAATTATAAAATACATACCCATCCTCCATGATCCAAGATCCATTTTCCAAGTTTACTGGCAACATATTTTCCAACAAACAGGGCAATTTTTTCTTGATATGACACAAGCCTTTTGTCATTGACGGAATCTGAACTTGAGCTGTTATTGTCAATGTAGTACAAGGCAAGACGGGCAGCAAAAGCGTATACCGCTACAATTCGTCCCCAGTTAACTTGTCCATCATCAAAAATTTCATCAGCAACAATAACAAATGTAGAGAAGAGACTGCTTTCGTCTTCTGGCTTTAATCTGTTGACCATTCCTTTGAAAACCAGATTGTGCCTGTCAGACAGCTCTTTCACAGTACGACGAAGAGTTTTACAGTATCTGTTTGGTGCTCGACTAGGGCTTGCCACGTTGAAATTAACCACAACATCTTTGGCCATGAACTCAGCTTCCCGACGAACTTGGTCTAGTGGCGAGTTTGAAAAGGTTTGAGTACTCTCATCGGTAACCTGGGCAATATCGTTCAACCCTTGGCCTGGTTTGAAGACACCGAGACGTTCGGACACTTGAGCGAACAGATTCCTGCTTGTGTCCACTTTCATATTGTGGAAACCCGAATTACTAGAAGACTTAATCATGATGGCTTGAAATCAACGTTCACAAGATTAAATCAACGTTCACAAAATTAATTTATAAGACATGATAACACACAAAATGGCGTCAGGACACTACGCCACTACGGAAATACAATAATAGCCCGTGAGAGCGACGGAAAATGGAGGGGAAGGAAGTTGTAAAGGCCCACCGAATCTAGATAGATCTAAATCCTAGATTTTAAATTCTGACGTACTTCCGGTTTATTTTAGGAGTCAAATAAATATATTTTGTTAAAGATGCTGTAGGTAGTAGGCTATGTACCCAATTATGCAGTACAACAGCAAGCCTCATGTTTTAACGTTCATTTGGGTGTCCATGGTTTACACACTTCAAGCCAAAGTAATCTTTTAGAGAACAGAGAGTTCAGCCATGACAGTGTACAGTCTAGGTGTATCATGGCTTAGGTTTATTATCTCCTTGTGCCTGGGCTAGGCCAACACATTGCACACAAGTACACAAGATACGGATTGGCTTACCGGCCAGTCGAGTTGAGTATTCGAGATAATCGGTCCCAGTTCCCAGTCAGCGAGTACTTCAAATACATTGTGCCGAATGTACAAAATGTACTCTGTTGGACAATTGGAATCAACTTTCTAGTCAACCAAAGATCCAATTCTACTAGATCTAGTCTAGATCTAGTGTTCCCAAACTTTCTGATGGAAAAAATTTGGCTAAAGGCAAAAGCACAATTCTCTGCCTTCTGAAAAGCAAAGACCTCAGAGGCCTGCGTTGATGGCGGAATTTGTTTTAATCTAAAGAAGTATAGGGTGGACAGTGAATACAAGCGCAGCTTGCAATGTTTGCCCTATCTTTTAAACCTTCTACTTCTTAAAAGATATCCCTACATTCTATTCATTAAATTTGTCATAGGTTGGAGAATATGTATCACTGCAGGCGGTACAATATATCTAATATATATATATATATATATGTGTGTGTGTGTGTGTGTGTGTGTGTTATATGGTCGCTGTTAAGCACAATTAAGGGGGCTATCACGAAAAATGCTGTTTTTAGAAAATCGAAGGTAAAGTTTTTGGACCCTTGTTCAGTTTCTTTAAAATATAAGGAGAGTTTTTTCTCTAAATCCAACAAAAATGTATATATTGATATATCTATATTCGTCGATATATATATATATATATATTTCCCTATCCCTCCTCGAGACCTATGAGAATTAGGATTGGCTTTCTGATCGTACTATTCATCAAATACATTTTTACACTAAATATCCAATCCACAAAACCCTTCTAAAAAATATTTTGCAGCTAACTGACTGGCATTCTGTGCCCATGAGTTATTCGGGTCTGCCATCTACAGCCGTGTCGAGCGCACCTCCTTCGGTAGCACACCTGCGAGCAAAGGCAGTTAAAATCCTACGCTTTTTCTAGAACCATTCTCTTGTCGGGCACCATCGCTTAATTCCCAACTCATTGGTTTGTCATTATCTTGCAAACACGCTGGGGAAGAATGCCGATAAACATGTTGGTACATCAGAACAATCACTGTCGAGTTTTAAAAATAGGCCTAAGATTTGTACGTGAGTCACCGGTGCATGGCAAAGCAATGTGCCACGTACAGTCGGTCGCTATACATTATCATAATGATTATGTGGGTGATTCCCGGAAGGGGCGGGGGGAAGGGTCATGGCCAAGAAGTAATTTAATGCAAACGCATTTTTGCAGGATGTGGAGTGCATCTTTTTCAAGTGGGGAAATGAAGAAAGCCGGGGAGGAAGAAGCTGAACAAGTGCAGTCGATTAAGCGATAGGCTATGCCATCTTCCATACTATTTAAATGTACCTTGAAATATAACTTACTTATTAATGTATTTTCTTCCTTATGCGGATCTGGGCAGCTGACCAGCAATTCATGCTCTACCTATTGTAAGATTGACTCTAGCCAGAAGGCCTAGGCTCAGAGAAGGCCTGTGCTCTGCCGCATCTTAGCTTCAAATTCAAGTGGCAACATTGAATGGACAATGCACAATCGTCTGCAGCTGCGAACACAAAGTCACACACAACTCCTCTTCGACCTTTGGCCTTTGCATGAAGTCTATGCAGGTTGAAGACGCTGCCATCATCAGTCTTGAACCTGATCTTGATAGTGGTGCGCTACAGGTTGAAGGTCAACGAATGAAGATAATATAGTTAGAGATTTAGACTCGAATATTCGTGTAGCACTCGATCTATACTTCAGAACTCAAATTCGACCCATCCCGGATTCAGATTCGAAGCCTAAAAAATACTAAAAATTTTATCTTCCATCACCCACACATTTAACTAATTATAGCGTTATTCTCCCACTTCTCCTATGTTATCATACAGGGAAAATGTGCTCGTGCAAAATAGCAAGTAGGCTAGCCTTTTATGAGGACAAAAAATAGTCGAAACGGCCTAATTTAAATACTTTTCGATTATTAAAACCTCTCTCTCTCTCTCTCTCTCTCTCTCTCTC